GATTCGGACTCATAGCAACCCTATAGGACAGAGTAGAACTGCCCCTTAGTTTCCAAGCAGCGCTTGGTGGATTTGAACTGCCAGCCTTTACGGTTAGCAGCTGTAGCTCTTTATCCACTGTGCCACCAAGGTTTCCATCACCTGGGGAGATGAATGAAAAACAGAATTGTTGGCAGTGAGAAATCCGAAAAGGGAAAGAAAGTAAACGGGAAGAGTGAAGTTTAAGACCTGGTACTATGGCGATTTGCTCAACTGGATTTTGGTAATCATTTACCCTTCAGAAATTCTAGGATGTCATAATTTTATGCTGTTATATGTAAATAACTTTGTTGCTAATGTTTGTTTTGTGTGATCGCAGGAGTAGTGTTAGAGCGAGACAAAACCAAACCAGTTGCCTTGGAGTTGATTCCAACTCTTGACAACACCATGTGTGTCAGAACTGCACTCAGTGGGATTTTCTTGGCTGTGACCTTTTGGAAGCAGATCGCCAGGCCTTTCTTCTGAGGTGCCTCTAGGTGGGTTTGAACCACCAACCTTTTAGTTAGTAGTTTAAATGTACCACCCAGGGACTCCTAGAGAGAGCCAGGTGATATAATCTCTAAAGAATGAGACAGATTGTACACCAGTGGCTACAACACCAAAGGGATAATGGGTGGTGGAGCCTGAAGGAAATATTAGTCTGTGAAGTGGTAGGGAGTGGTAATGAGGGTACCCACTCACTGCTAGGTCCTGTAGTATGAGGGATAGGGGTGACTGAATAGTCTGTACTCAAGAAGGCTACAGGAAACTCAGTATCTTCAGAGGAAGGTTTTAGAGCAGGAGCCCTGGTGGTGTAACTGTTAAGCATTCAGCTGCTAACCCAAAGGTTGGCGGTTGGAACCCACCCAGCAGCTTTGCAGGAGAAACACCTGGCGATCTGCTCGCCTAAACATTCCGGCTAAGAAAACTATGGGCAGGGCCAGATTATCCAATAAGCAAGGTACACACATGCCCAATTATGCCTTCTCACCAATCCGCAGTGCACAGTTTCACCTGTGCCCACCACAGCACCGATGTGGTGAAACCCATGTGAATTGCTCACCACTGATTAGCAAGTAAATAAAGCCCTTGCATACGTTGCTCAAAGCCGGTGCTTACTGGTTAATCTGACCCTGCCTATGGGCATTTCTACTTTGTCATGTAGGGTCACTATGAGTCAGAATCACCTCGACAGCACCCAACAACAACAGTCTCAAGGCAAAGAGTGTAGGTGAGGCTGTAGGAACTGGTGGGGAGGGAAGGCAATGGCCTCTTACAGGCCTTCTTTATTCCTGCTGATGGAAGCTGAGAAGCCTGTGAAGGGATGGTCTACTAAAGTATACAGAGCTCCTCTTGTTCCTACTAGAGGAGGGGTGGTCTTATTCCCAGCAGCTGGGACTCCCCACAGATATCATTCAGTGGAGCATGAAAGTCTATACCAAAAAAGAAGCCAAACCAGTTGCTGTTGAGTTGACTTTGACTCACAACAACCCCATGTGTGTCAGAGGAGAACTGTGCTCTACAGGGTTTTCAATGGTTGTGACCTTTTGGAAGTAGATCACCAGGCCTTTCTTTTCAGGCACCTCTGGGTAGATTCCCCAGTTCTTAACCATTTGAGCCACCCAGAGACTCCTAAAAGACAATAAAAAACCATTGCCATGAAGTCAATTCTGACTCATACCAACCCTATAGGACAGAGTAGAACTTTCACATAGCGTTTTCAAGGAGCAGCTGGTGGATTCAAACTACCAACCTTTTTGATCGTCATCCTGAGCTCTTAATCACTGCGCCAGTAGGGCCCAAAAAAACTTTATAGTAGGTCCATATAATAGATTCTACCATTATTTAGTCCCTGGGTGGTGCAAATGGTTAATGTGCTCATCTGCTAACTGAAAGGGTGGAGGTTCAAGTCTACCCAGAGGTGCCTCAGAAGAAATGGCTGGTGGTGTCAGAGTAGAACTGTGCTCCATAGGGTTTTCGAAGGCTGATTTTTGGGAAGCAGATTGCCAGGCCTTTTTTCCAAGGCACCTCTGCCCCTCTGGGTGGGTTCAGACCACCAACTTTTTGGCTAGTGGTTGAGTGTTTAACTGTTTGCACCACCCAACCAAACCTGTTGCTATCAAGTTGATTCCAACTCATAACACACCCATATGACAGTAGAACTGCCCCATAGAGTTTCCAAGGCTATAATCTTTATGGAAATAGATTGCCACACCTTTCTCCCATGAAACTACTGGTGAATTTGAACCACCAACCTTTTGGTTAGCAGACAAGTGCTTAACAACTGCACCACCAGGGCTCCTTGGTTGTAACTACCTACCCTAAATTCTTTGCAGATTTTTTCTCTGTGTCGTCAGTTTTTATTCACCGTTGCCAATAAGTCTTCTCACAAATTATCATTTTCTGTCTACAAGAGGATGAAAATCATTCAGTGTATTATATGGGAGGTGTGCGCCCATGGCAGTTATAAAATAATTTGGACATCACTCCTCGTTAGTAAACTGCTTTTATTTCTGGGAGTCTAGACCTGCATTAAGGAGCCCTGGTGGTGCAATGGTTAAGTACTTGGGTGCTAATCAAAACGTTGGCAGTTCAAACCCTCCAGCAGCTCTGCAGGAAAAAAGACCTGGCAATCTGCTCCTATAAAGCCTAGGAAACCCTATGGGGCAGTTCTACTCTGTTACTCTGTCACTGAATTGACTGGAGAGCACCCAACAACAACAGACGTACATTAAGAAGCCTTGGTGTTGCAATGGCTAAAGGTCAGTGGTTTGAATTCATTAGCAGCTTCATGACAGAAAAGACCTAAGGATCTGCTCTCATAAAATTACAGCCTAGGAAACCCTACGGGGCAGTTCTACTCTGTTCTATAGGGTATCTATGAGTCAGAATTGACTCCAAGGTACACAACTATAGACCTGCATTGTCTGATACAGTAGACATATTTCCTGTTATGGATTCACACACATTTTCATGCACTGAAGCTATACTTTTTTTTTTTCTTGTTAATGCTCTTTAAAAAATTTTTTTTTGTTGTGGCAAAAGCATACGCAACGAAACTGCAGTGTGCTGGATCACTTTTGTGTGGCCTTTCTCCCCATGGTCTTGTAACTCCCATAAAATGATTTGGGTGAGACCATGCTAGTAAGGTATATGAAACCCTAACAAGGGGATTGGTCAGTTTTGCCATCCTGGTATGCTTAAAATGAGCCATCACAGAGGTGGGAAAGAGAGGATCTCACCACCACCAAGGAAGAAGGGCCAAGAGCAGAACAGTCCTTTGCACCTGGGATCCCTGAATTTTGAAGCTCTTAAAACCAGGAGATGGTAGAGAAACAGCAGCAGGAGAGACTAGCAGGAGATGGCGAAGTGGGCTTCCAGGCCCATGGAGTGAGAAAGCTGAGTGCCTTCGGGCAGGAGGCTTGGTGTCCAAATAGGGTGCCTCCGGGTACTTGGTGGAGCTAGATTTGTTGATTCATGGAGACAGAGCTGAGCACCTTCGGGCTGAGGCTTACTGGCGGAGTGGGGTGCCTCTGGGCACTTACCGGCAGGGCTAAAAGAGCTTTGTCACACTTGCCTGAGCAACTCTGAGGCCAAGGGCCAGAGAGAGGCGTGCCTGTGAGAACAGCTGAGAAGAGGTTGTCCTGATGGAAGCGCTGTATCCTAAGCATTCCTGAACATGAGTTGTAACCTGTTACTTCCCTAATAACCCTATAATCATGTGAATTATCTGTGAGTTCTGTGTGGCCATTGCAATCAATTATGGAACCCAGCAGAGAAGTAGAGCATGCCGTGGGAGGGACGGTCGGTGTCAGAATAGTAAAGATGGCAGAGATAGGAGGCATTTCCGATCTCTGCCTCATAGGAATCAGTGTTGGGCTTTTGATCTTGATTCTCCTCTCCGCTTGTCAAGAGAGAGGAGGTCAGACACCACCACTGCACTGTATCTACAAAAACACACATCAATTTAACAATTTCTACATGCATAATTCAGTGATATAAGTGATATTCTTCAAGTTGTACATCCATTCTCACTATTCTTTGCCAAATTATTCCACCACCATTAACATAAACTCAATGTTCCCTAAGCAAAGACTCCCCCTTTTCTCCTCCTTTCCACCTGGGTAGCCACTAATAATCTTTAATTTCTATTTATTTGCTTATTTCGTATCAGTGAGATCATACAGTATTCGTCTTTTTGCGACTGACTCATTTCACTCACCATAATGTTTTCAAAGTTCATCCATGTTGTGGTATGCATCAGGACTTCATTTCTCCTTACAACTGAGTAGTATGCCATGGTATGTATGTACCACATTTTGCTTATCTATTCATTTGTTGATGGATATTTTGGTTGTTTTCACTTTGGACTATTTTGAAAAGTCCTGCAATGAATATTGCTGTATAGTACCTTTAAGTTTTTGATGAATAAAAGAAAGTCTTCATTACTTAGTCAAGCCTGACTAGGTGATCTCTTTCAAGAAATGTTCACTATGACATGATCTTTTGAACTTTAGATAGAAGCTCCCACCGTAACACAAAGTCAATAGTCAACTCTTCTTACAAGTAGCCTTAAGCTCTGCAAAGATGCACAGTGAAGAGCACAAGGATAGAAATAGCCTAACATTTCCTTACTTGGCCCCATTGATAAACCTCAAAGCCTTATAGTTTTAGGTAGTTACAGTTCTCCCTGGCATCTGGTTTAGTATTCACTACATTGTTACTTGCAAGCATTGAATTCACAAGTATTTTCCTTATCCTATGTGTTATCATGGAAAGTTGAGAAAGGGTGAAACTTCTTCCCCTAGCTGAAGCTTTCCAGATACATTTTAAGCAAGAAATATATGATCTCAATATTTATTAGCCACTTTATACTGCTGAGATTTAACTCTATAATCATATCACTGCTCCCCAGATCCCACTTATTCTTTGTTTCTGAAGATTTTCCTCTGGAGAATTCTGAACTCAAATCCTGGAACAAGATGGCCGAATCTTTTTTTTCTGACTTTGGCTTGTTGTGGTACCTGGAGGAACTCAGAAAGGAAGAGTTCTGGAAATTTAAGGAGCTTCTCATGCAAGAACCTCTGAAACATGAACTCAAGCCAATTCCCCGAACTGAGCTAAAGAAGGCTTCAAGAGAAGATCTAGCAAAGTTGTTGGACAAGTACTACCCAGAAAAACAGGCATGGGAGGTGACACTAAGCATTTTTCTACAGATCAATCGGAGAGACCTCTGGAAGAAGGCTCAGGAAGAGATTAGACGTGAGTATGGGAGGCAAGGGTGGGAATCCATATGGAAAGGTTCACTTACTGGGAGCTTCTGATAATGAAGAAGATATCGTTGTTTAATCGGTGACCGTATCCACCCGCAGCTGAGTGTGTATTGTGGGACAATGTGAGCCTTAGAAGAGTTACAAGCCACCTCTGGTCATACATGGGTTAGTGATAGACTTGGGATTAGTAGTATTCTGACCAAAACTGTTGATCTAAGTGGTGTCTCCCCATTGTTCTGCTCCAGGGATGGTTGGAGTTAGTGCCTACATCACAAAGTCTTCTGAGGTGAAGCCCCATGATTGTAGTTGCCCATCCTTTTAACCTGACATGTGCAAGGAACCAGAAACATGTTGTTGTTAGGTGCTGTTTAGTTGATTCCAACTCAAGGAGACCTCATGTGACAGATTAGAACTTCCCCATAGGGTTTTCATGGTTGCAGTCTTTATAGAAGCAGATCACCAGGTCTTTCTTCCAAGGCACCTCTGGGTGGGTTCAAAATGCTAACCTTTTAGTTAGCAGCCAAGCAGTTAACCATTGCGCCACCAGGTCTGTTCTTCCTTAGATGCATTTCCAGACACTTGTTACAATGTACCTTGTACTTTATAACCCGTCTTATCTCACCTACTGTTGTGTACATTTCTTCGGTGCAGGTTATGGGTCCTGTTGATATTTGTAATTTTTACCTTCTCTAATGTGTTGCCATGAGCATGGAAGATATGCAATTAGGGAAAGTTAAAAGAATGATGGCTGAAGGGTGCATTTCTGAAATTAACTCATCAGCATGGTTTAATAGAAATTACCTGGACCCTGTACTTTCAAGTCAGACAGCTATGGGATAGACACCTGACCCTAATATTTATTCATTAGTCCAAATTAACTAAGTTAAGGTCTCTCAACCTTATTTGTAGAGTGGGAACAGACTGAATCTTGATGAGTTGTTAAGAAGATGAAAGAGGTGGTATCAATAATACCCTTCTCAGCCCTAACTCCTGGTGTTCCTGAGTAAATGGCAGTATTGTGGTGGTTCAGTGATAGAATTCTCACCTTCATGAAGGAGGCCCAGGCTCAATTCCTGGCCAATGCACCTCATACACAACCACTGCCTGTCTGTCAGTGGAGGCTTGCATGTTGCTATGATGATGAATGGGGTTCAGCAGAGCTTCCAGACCAAGACAAACTAGAAAAAGTGGCCTGGCAATCTTCTTCCAAAAATCACCAATGAAAACCCTGTGGATCACAACAGTCTGATCCCGTTGTGCATGAGGTTACCATGAATCAGGGCTGACTCGATGGCAACTAACATCAACAAATGGATTTTCTGCTGGGAAGATAATACCACCCCGTTCCGGTTTAAAATACTATTCTCAAGTATTCATACTTAGTGTAGCTTGTAACTCTGTGGTAGTCTTCCAATGTTGGTCATGTGCTTCCAAGTCCATGATTTCAGATAAATTATTATCCTAATGGGTGTCCCTTGGTGGTGCAAATGATTAACACACTCAGCTGCTAACTGAAAGGTTGTTAACCAAAAAGTTGGCAGTTCAAGTCCACCCAGAAGCGCATCAGAAGAAAGGCCTACCGATCTGCTTCCAAAAGGTCACAGCCATGAAAACCTTGTGGAGCACAGTTCTACTTTGATACACATGGGGTCACCGTGAGTCAGAATGACTTGACAGTAACTGGTTTGATTTGGTATTGTCCTAATAAAACTAATTAGCCTAATTATCCATGGACATCATTAGCCTTTGTACATATGTTCAAGTAAATTCCTGGGAGTCATTTTGAAGAATATAAATGTATGCCTGCATTGTTTTAATTGACTTGTATTCTGTCCTCATTGATTCAGATAAGATAAACCCATACAAAAAGTGCATGAAGGACAAGTTCCGTCTTATATGGGAAAAGGAAACTTGTCTTCAAGTCCCTGACTCTTTCTACAGAGAAACCGTAAAGAAGGAATATGAAGAACTGAACAATGCATATACTTCTGAGGAGATAAGTGAGGGCTCGCCCACAGTGGTTCTGAAAGGTTCTGAAGGAATTGGGAAAACTACCCTTTTGAGAAAAGCAATGTTGGAATGGGCAGAAGGAAACTTCTGGAAGGGCAGATTCACATTTGCTTTTTTCCTTAATGTCCGTGAAATGAACTGTATTACAGAGACAAGCTTAGTGGAGCTAATCTCTAGGGACTGGCCTGCATCTTCAGAGCCAATTAAAGACATCTTTTCCCAGCCACAGGACATCCTGTTCATCATGGATGGCTTTGAGGAGTTGAAATATGACTTGACGCTTGAGAATAACAAGTGCAATGACTGGACACAGCAGCAGCCAACAGAGATTATCCTGAGCAGTTTGCTGCAGAAAAAAATGCTCCCTGAGTCTTCTCTGCTTATTGCATTAGGACCTATAGGTATGCAAAAAATTTATTTCTTGTTGCAGCACCCAAAATACATAGTTGTCTCAGGATTCTCTGAGCATGAAAGGAAGCTCTATTGCTCCCACTTTTTCCGTGAGAAGAATAAAGCCATGAAAGCCTTCAGTTTTGTGAGAGACGATGAATCCCTGTTTGCCGTGTGCCAAAATCCCCTTATATGCTGGTTGATCTGTTGTTGTATGAAATGGCAGCTGGAGAGGGGAGAAGATCTTGAGATTTTTTGCCAGAGCACCACCTCTTTGTATGCATCCTTTTTTATAAATGTAGTGAAAGCAGGAGGTGAGAACAGAGCCCGACTAAAAGGCCTGTGTTCTTTGGCAGCAGAGGGAATATGGACTCAGACATATCTGTTTTACCATGGAGATTTCAGGAGGAATGGATTATCTGAATCCGATGTCTTGAGGTGGTTGGGCATGAATCTTCTTCGAAGGAACGGTGACTGTATTACCTTCATCCATAGCCACGTTCAAGAGTTTTGTGCAGCCATGTTTTATTTGCTAAAACAACCCAAAGACAACTCTAACCCAGTCATTGGCAGCATTACCCAGCTTGTTGCAATAGGTCTTAGCAAAATTGAAGCCTGCTTGTCCCAGACGGGGCTATTTTTGTTTGGGCTTTCAGCAGAAAAAATAACCAAAATGCTGGAGACATCCACTGGTTTCCAACTGTCACAAGAGATAAAGCAGGAAATAATTCAATGCCTAAAAACTTTAAGTCAGTGTGGATCCAATGAGACAGAGCTGGATTTCCAGGAATTGTTCAATGGTATATATGAAAGTCGGGAAAAAGAATTTACAGCAAAAGTAATGGATTTCTTTGAAGAAGTTACCATTCATATTGGCAACACAGAGGAACTGGTAATATCTTCATACTGCCTAGAACATTGCCGGAATTTGCAGAGACTTGTACTGGGTATAGAAAATATCTTTTTAGATGACTCTGAATCCAACTCAAGGTAAGTACATCTATTAACCTTCTGCAACTCCCCCCTCCCCACCATACTTGTAGTTTGTTCCAGCTCCCCATGGGTATCTGATGGATCCTTATGCCTCTGTGCTTAAGTGTATGGCTTTCATAGTCAGACTTTGTTTTGAGCTCTGGTGCTACCAGTTGCTAGCTACGTTACTATGGGCAGCAACTCAAATCAGTTTTTCCTTCTGTATCAAGAGGGTTAAAATTGTACCTACTTCATAGGGCCAATGTAAAACTGAAAGACAAGAAAAGTTTATAGTTGCCATGACTGTGCAGACACTCCACACGTACCAATATAGTTAGCTTCCAAAGACCAGGTTGTTACATGAAAACTGGTGTTATGGGAAAATGGAGGATGACCACATCAGACCACAAAATGGAGAACGACTACAACATTATGTAACTGCCCAATTGCATTATTACATTAAATGCTAAACTGCTAAGAATCATGGCCCAGCCAAGCTGACACATAACCTTAACCATCACAGCCAGTGTTACTCTCCCCTCACACCTCGACATTCATTACTGCCAGATGTACATCGCTAATGGGCAGAATACTTGAATAGATTTTTTGCTGTTGTTGTAGATGTGAAATGTTGGGAAATGATATCATTGATAAGTGGAGAGTAGGTGTATTTTTTTATTCCATAGCCATTAGGTTCATGTGACCAGCTCATTTCTTAATTCTCAAATACACACCACCTTTCTGGAGAACACTTTGGAAGCAGTTCCCCATTCACTGAGGGTGTCTTAGTCATCTAGTGCTGCTCTAACAGAAATACCACCAGTGGATGGCCTCAACCAAAAGAAGTTTATTCTTTCACAGTCTAGTAGGCTACAAGTCCAAATTCAAGTCGTCAGCTCCAGGGGAACACTTTCTCCATTGGCTCTGGAGGAAGATCAGTGTCATCAATCTTCCTCTGGTCTGGGAGCTTCTCTGCGCAGGAACCTCAGGTCCAAAGGATGCGCTCTCCTCCTGGCACTGCTTTCTTGGTGGCATGAGGTTCCCATGTGTCTCTGCTCGCTACTCTTTTATATCTCAAAAGAGATTGGATTAAGACACTATCTAATCTTGTAGACCTCATCAGTATAACCTCATCATAGTGACAGAGTTTACAACAATTAAGGAAATCACATATAACCTCATCATAGTGATAGAGTTTACAACACATAAGGAAATCACATCAGATTACACAATCATACAATGCTGGGAATCATGACCCAGTCAAGCTGACAGACATTTTTGGGGGACACAACGCAATCCATGACAGAAGGATTACCAAATATTAACTCTTTTTTTAAATAATATTTTATTTTTGGTGACATACACAACCAACCATACACGCATAATTTCTACATGAACAGTTTAATGACATTGATTACATACTTCACTATGTACCACCATTCTATCTCTACCCATATTGTTTTATCATCATTAATTTAGGCTATCTGCCCCTTGAAGTTCTCATCTGTGCTTTAGATTAACTGTAGTCATCTTACCCTCACAGAGATAATTCTTTGTAAGAGCACTGTACTGGAGGCAAACATTCTTTATTGACTGGGCTAAACTGTCATTTAGTTTAACAATGGTTTCATGGGATAGTTTCGGTACAAGGTTTAAAGATTGTTTCTGGGAATTAGGTTTGGGGATTCCCCCAATCTCAAAGGATCCAGTAAGTCTGGCTTCCATATAAATTTGAAGTTCTGTTCACATTTTTCCTCCTTTTGATCAAGATCTATCTAGATCAAGATAACTGAGTCCTTGATCAAAAATAAATATTAACTCTTAATCTCATAACAATGGGATTATCCTCTGCTCCCGTGCATTAAGGGTATCGACATGTAAAGTAAAATGTGGTTGGAGAGCTAAAAAGGTAGCAGTCCTGGTAGCAGGTGACCTTTGCTTGGAATTCAATGGATCAATAGTAGATCTTTCCCAGATAAAGAATCAGGAAGCATACTAAGGACAGATTAATCCCTGGGTGGTGCAAATGGTTAAGCGCTCAACTGCTAACAGAAAGATTGGGGGTTCAAATCCACCCAGAAGTGCCTTGGACGAAAGGCCTTGTAATCTACCTCTGAAAAATCAGTCATTGAAAACCCTATGGAGCACCGTTCTACTGTGACACACATGGGGTCGCCATGACTTGGAGTCAACGCCACAGCAACTGGTTTTATTCTCACTTAGAAGAGGAGGAAGAGGAGGCAGAATAAGATTGAAGAGCTTGCCCAAGTTACATAACTAATAAACGGTTCAATCAGGATTTGATCTCAATGACTCTGGCCTCAGAGTCCACATTCTTGGCCACTATGACACGTTGGCTCAGTTTACCTGACTGAGCATCTCCCTATTCAGGGTGGGCGTTTGTCAGCTTTGAGGGATTTAAGAATATCATTCTGCTAGTTTTGAGAATGTCTTGGACTGAATTGAGCCCCTAGAGAATCATATCTTTGTTCTTCCCAGGAACTGGAAGCTCATCTTTTGGCAGGACCTTTGCTCAGTGTTCAGCACCAACAAGAAACTGCAGGTGTTAGAATTGGACAACTGTAGCTTCAGTGATGATTCTCTTGCGGTTCTTTGTAAAGCAATGGCACAGCCCACTTGTAAACTCCAAAGGCTCTTGTGAGTTTGATATTAACCTCTTCTTTAATCCCTTGGAATTAGCAGTCTCTGTCTCTCTACTCTGGCCTTTTGGGAGAAGACCAATGAACATAAACATAAACAGAACTACAATCCTATGCATCAGTAAGTGTTATGAGCTGCTGCAGAGTCAGCCTCTGGCTCGTGGTGGACTCCGTGCACAAGAAAACGCTGCCTGGTCCTGTGTCAATTGCAGATTAGATTGTTGTGATCCATAGGGCTTTGGTTGACTGATATTTTTGGAAGTAGCTTGCCAAGCCTTTCTTCCTAGTCTGTCTTAGTCTGGAAGCTCTGCTGAAACCTGTTCAGCATCATAGCAACACACAAGCCTCCACTTACAGGTGGGTAGTGGCTGCACGGGAGGTGCACTGGCTGGGAATTGAACCCAGGTCTTCTGCACGGAAGGCGAGAATTCTACCACTGAACCCTGCCACTGCCACCATGCATTAAGTGTATCAACATGTAAAGTAAAATGTGGTTGGAGAGCTGAAAATGGAGCAGTCCTGGTAGTAGTTGACATTTGCTTGGAATTTAATGGATCAATAGTAGATATTTCCCAGATAAAGAAAGAGGAAGTGTACTAAGGACAGATGAGAGAATAACCTTAAAGTTGTAATAATAAAAATACAGGAAATAGGAAGCATTTATAAAACACTTCTTTAGCACAGAGCTGTTTGCTTGATGTGCATTATTTCCTTCATTTTCATTTAATCCTAACAACAATCTTATTGTCTTGTGCCATCAAAGCTAACTCTGACTCATGGAGACCCCACGTGTGTCAGAGCAGAATGTGATCCATAGGGTTTTCAATGGCTGATTTTCAGAAGTAGATCACCAGGCCTGTCTCCCGAGGTGCCTCTGGATGGGTTTGCACTGCTAACTGAGAGAAATAATGTATGGGTAGGAGTCACCAGGTAGCTGAAAACAGTGTTGTGAGGCTAAGCAAGACGGGCAGAAAGAATTGTTGAAGAGATGTTCTTATTTTGTGCTGAGACATCATTGCACAACTCCCAATATTTCCTTATCTTCTGCAGGTTTCATTGTGTGTCTGACATTGGAGATGGTCCATACTTCTTCAAGGCTATTCTTCATAACCCCCATCTGAAATACCTGAACCTGTATGACACTAGCCTCTCTTACACTGCAGTCAGGCAGTTATGTGAGACGCTAATGCACCCAATGTGCAACATCGAGCAGCTAATGTAAGTCTCTGGGGTGTCTGGGCAAACAGTATTTTTTCCAATGTTGTTGTTGTTAGTTGCTGTCTAGTCAATTCCTACTCATGGCAACCCCATGTGTGTACAGCAGAACTGCTCCATAGGATTTTCAAGGCTGTGACTTTTCAGAAGCAGATCACCAGGCCTTTCTTCTGAGGTGCCTCTGGGTGGGTTTGAACTGCTAACTTTCAGCTACTAGTACAGCACTTAACCGTTTACACCACCCAGAGACCATTTTTTCCAATGTAGACTTTCCAATGTCCATTTTCTTCTCTAGAGGTCATTTGTGTCAGCCTCTGTATGTTATATTTTTCTTCAAGTCAATCTCAGAATCTCCAGACATCGTAGTAAAGTAAGGATGAATTCTAAAGAGTAAATATTCACTTTAATTAAATACCGGTTGCCACTGAGTTTATTCCAACTCATGTGTCAGAGTAGAACTTGTGCTCCATAGGATTTTCAATGGCTGATTTCTCAGAAACCAGGCCTTTCTTGCAAGGTGCCTCTGAGGGGACACAAACTGCCAACCTTTCGGTTAGCAGCTGAGCGCGTTAACCATATTCGTGATCCAGTGATTCCTCATTTGAATTCTCTCATAAACACCTTACCTGGCACACTTCTTGATTTTTCCCTCAACTCCCTTGGGTTTTGTTGTTGTTTGTTTTGTTTTTTTATTTTATTGTGCTGAAAATATACATAACAAAACATACACCATCTCAACAATTCCTACTTGTGCAATTCAGTGACATTGATTACATTCTTCAAGTTGTTCACCCATTCTTGCTATCCTTTTCCAAACCATTCCACCATCATTAACATAAACTCAATGTCCCTAAGTAAACATTCCCCCTTCCTCCTGACCTCCTACTGCTTGCAGCCACTAACAATTTCTGGTTTCTATATGTTTTCTTATTTTATGTAAGTGAGATCATGCAGTGTTTGTCCTTTTGCAAGTGACTTACTTTGCTCAGCATGATGCTTTCAAGGTTCATCCATGTTAGGGCATGCATCAAGAATTCAGTCCTCTTCATGGCTGAGTAATGTTCATTGGGTATATATACCACATTTTGTTTATTCATTTGTTGATTTAGATTATTTCCACCTTTTGGCTATTGTGAAAAGCGCTGCAACGAACCTTGGTGTACCAGTATCTGCATTCTACCTTCACTTCTTTGGGGCATATACCTAGGATTGGCATTGCTGGATGTACACATGGTTAGTTTTTTTTTTTTTTTTTCCCTTAAGATAATCGCAAAAACATAAGACCAGAAAGTGTGTTAACCATCACACCTGTAATTTTTCTAATATGGCAGATGACAACACCGAGGCCAGAGGGAAGGAGACTCCCCAAAGACATTTCTTCCTGTAGAAAATTATTAGAGTTGCCACTGGCCTAATTAGATAATTTCTAGGTAGGCTAAGTCTTTTTTTCAGCAGAAAGAACAAAGGGAAGTAATTGAGGTAGCAATAAACAAAACTCAACTCATTACACTCATCAGAAAATGTACACCTCTCCTTTCTCAGGCCAGTGTCTATTCTTTGCAGTTACAATTGCAAGTAGGACTAGTAGATTTATATGTTGTCATTGTTAACCAAAACCAAACCAAATCCATTGCCATGGAGTTGATTCTGACTCACAGCAACCCTATAGGACAGAGTAGAACTGCCACCAGAGAGTTTCCAAGGAGCGGCTGGTGGATTCAAAGTGTTGAACTTTTGCTTACCAGCCAAGCTCTTAACCACTGTTTAGGTGCCATCAAGTCAATTTTTGACTCATACTGACCCTATGTGACAGACTAGAACTGCCCCATAGGGTTTTCTAGGCTATAATCTTTAGGGTTCTTTGACCTCATCATTTGTTCCTTTTCGGTTTATCTACTTGACATTTAAGAGCAATTTTAAGAGTCTTTCTGACAATCATTTTAGTCTTTTCTTTCCTGTCTTTTTTAATGACCTCTTGCTTTCTTCATATATGATGTCCTTGATGTCATTCCACAACACATCTGGTCTTTGGTCATTAGTGTTCTATGAGTCAAATCTATTCCTGAGATGGCCTCTAAATTCAGGTGGAATGTACTCAAAGAACTAAAACAGAAGATTTCAAAGGACAACCAGAGAAGACAAAGTAAAGTATTTTGAAAAAATAAAAAGTATTAATGAAATGTGCAAAGATCTGGAGATAGAAAATCAAAAGGAAACAACATGCTCAGCATTTCTTAGGCTGAAAGAACTAAAGAAATTCAAGTCTCCAGTTGGAATATTGAAGGAGAGAACATTAAACGACGCAGGAAGCATCAAAAGAAGATGGAAAGAATACACATAGTCACTCTGCCAAAAAGAATTGGTTGACATTCAACCATTTCAGGAGGTAGCATATGATCAAGAACCAATGGTATTGAAGGAAGAGGTCCAAGCTGCACTGAAAGCATTGGTGAAAAAGAAGGCTCCAGGAATTGATGGAATACCAACTGAGATGTTTTAACAAATGGATGCAGCACTGAAAGCACTAGCTCATCTATGCCAAGAAATTTGGAAGACAGTTACCCAGTGAACTGACTGGAAGAGATCCAAAGAAAGGTGATCCAACGGAATGCAGAAATTATCGAACAATGTCATTAATATCACACGCAAGTAAAATTTTGCTGAAGATCATTCAAAAGCAGTTACAACAGTACATCAACAGGGAACTGCCAGAAATTCAAGCTGGATTCAGAAGAGGATGTGGAACGAGGGATATCATTGCTGATGTCAGATGGGTCTTGGCTGAAAACAGAGAATACAAGAAAGACGTTTACCTGTTTTATTGACTCTGCAAAGGCATTCAACTGTGTGAATCATAACAAATTATGGATAACATTGAGAAGAATAGGAATTTCAGAACACTTTAATTGTGCTCATGAGGAACCTGTATTTAGACCAAGAAGCAGACTTTCGAATAGAACAAGGGGATACTGCGTGGTTTAAAGTTGGGAAAGATGTGCGTCAGGGTTGTATCCTTTCACCATACTTATTCAATCTGTATGCTGAGCAAATAATCCAAGAAGCTGGACTATATGAAGAAGAATGGGGCATCAGGATCAGAGGAAGACTCATTAACAACCTGCGTTATACAGATGACAACCTTGCTTGCTGAAAGCGAAGAGAACTTGAAACACTAATGAAGATCAAACACTACAGCCTTCAGTATGGATTTCACCTCACCATAAAGAAAGCAAAAATCCTCACAACTGGAACAATAAACAAAATCACGATAAAGGAGAAAAGATTGAAGTTGTCAAAGATTTCATTTTACTTGGATCCACAATCAATACCCATGGAGGCAGTAGTCAAAAAATCAAACAACTCATTCATTGCACTAGGTAAATCTGCTGCAAAAGACCTCTTTAAAGTGTTAAAAAGCAAAGATGTCAGTCATTTTAAGGACTAAGTTGCGCCTGACCCAAGCCATGATATTTTCAGTCACCTTGTATGCATATGAAAGGTGGACAATGAATAAGGAAGACAGAAGAAGAATTGATGCCTTTGAATTATCGTGTTGGCAAAGAATACTGAATATACCATGGACTGCCAGAAGGATGAACAAATCTGTCTTGGAAGAAGTACAGCCAGAATGCTCCTTAGAAGCAAAGATGGCAAGACTTTGTCTCACCTATTTTGGACATGTTATCAGGAGGGACCAGTCCCTGGAGAAGGACATTATGCTTGGTAAAGCACAGGGTCAGTGAAAAAGAGGAAGACTCAATGAGATGGATTGACAACAGTGGCTGCAACAATGGGCTCAAGCATGACAACGATTGTGAGGATGGCGCAGAACTGGCAGTGTTTCATTCTGTTGCACTGTGTTGCTATGAGTTGTAACCAACCTAATGGCACCTAACACCAATAATCTTAGGGGAGCACATCACCATGTCTTTTTCCGTGAAGCCTTTGGGTGGATTTGAAACACCAACCTTTCAGTTAGCAGCCAAACACTTTACATTCCACCACCAGGGCTCCTAGTGGATTCACATACATCCTAGCGGATTTGTCAAGACAAAGCATCGGGAGAAAGAGGCAGGTCTCATGCCTAAGAGTTGTTTGATCATATAAGCATGCTATAGATTTGCTTTCTTCATATAGTCCTGCGCTGTCCTCACAATCATTGCTATGCTTGAGCCCATTGTTGGCAGCCACTGTGTCAATCCATCTCCTTGAGGGTCTTCCTCTTTTTCACTGACCCTCTACTTTACCAAGCACGATGTCCTTCTCTAGGGACTGGTCCTTCCTGATAACGTGTCCAAAGTAAGTGAGATGAAGTCTCATCATCCTTGCTTCTTAGGAGCATTCTGGCTGTACTCCTTCCAAGACAGATTGGTTCATTCTTCTGGCAGTCCATGGTATATTCAGTATTCTTCGCCAACACCGTAATTCAAAGGCATTAGTTCTTCTCCAGTTTTCCTTATTTATTGTCCAGGTTTGCACGCATATGAGGCTATTGAAAATTGTAAACACTTATTTCTTTTATGTTAACTTTATATTCATCAAATATGGGTACATGAAACTGAAAAGAGGAGCCCTGGTGACACAATGGTTAAAGTGCTCAGCTGCTACCGAAGGGGCGGTGGTTTGAAACCACCAGTGGCTCCATAGGAGAAAGACACAGCAGTCTGCTTGCATAAAGATTTGCAGCCTTGGAAACCCTATTGGACATTTCAACTCTGCCGGATAGTGTCGCTATGAATCACAATCGACCTGACAGCAATGGTTGGGTCTTTTTTTTTTTTTTTGGTAATTAAATAAAAACAAAGGCTATCAAGAGGCTTATTTTTAAACCAGTAGAAACCTATTTTAGCCTTCCTACTACCCAATCCTACTCCCTACAAGTGGTAACTTTTAACAATTTTAGCTTTTGTGTGATATTTATCTCCATGTTTTGAAAGTGTTTATAACTTCTATTTCTTGATTTATCTCCTTGAAATTATCTGATTCCCTGATATGGTAGATGTGAAATAGGCTTCCACAATGTCACATTCATTTTTCCAAAATAAGTTATTTTTACTTTAGATTAAAATCACATTCAATATTTTCATTATCATCACCATCGTTGTCATTGTTATTCGTTATAAATGTTCATTCCTAAGTCAAGAATGATACTATGGTTTTCTTTTTTCCTCAAATGACTGTTTTTCCTTGAGTCTTTATTTGCCCCATTTATTTCCTCTGATTAAATTTTTGCATTTATTGTGAAATCTGCCCTACACTTTCCAACAACTCCTCAATTCAATTTTCTAAATGATAAATTGCAAAAGAATCTTCTACTTCCATGTTTTTCCTAGATATTAATTTTAAAGGGTATTAATTTGGTTGCCACTGAGTTCTCTTTACATTAAACTTAAGAAATAAGCTGTTATGTCAGGCCCTGATAATGCAGTTTACACATATTAAGTGTTTCGGTGGTGAAACAGTTAAGTGCTTGACTACTAACTGAAAGGTTGGTAGTTCAAACCCACCCAGAGTCACCTCAAAAGAAAGGCTTGGCAATCTGCTTCTAAAAGGTCATAGCCTTGAAAACCCTATGGAGCACAGTTCTATTCTGCAATACTTGGAATCAGCTTGATGGCAACTGATTTGTTTCTTTTTTGTAAAAGGAAATGAGAATGTCTAGATTTTTTTCTCTGAGGCACAAAGACTCTCAATTGATTCCAGCACATATCTTCTGCCTGTATATTGATGGTAACCATGACAACAACTTCTCAGCAGGAAAAATGGCTTCAGATGAGGGAGGTTGTGAGTGAAGTGGAATTTAAATGGAGACTTGTAGGATGAGGAGCTTTTTAATGGTCAGAATGGAGAAACAATCTATGTGTTTAAAAAAAACACTTGATATGCATCGACCTTTGCTTAGGGTAGAAAGGAGAAATTGGAATGCTGCCATGTACCTAGGGTCTATGGAGGAGAGTGGTGTGAATCTGATTTGAAGAAAGAAGCAGAGCCCTGACCACCTGTGACTTTTAAACCATGTTAACGCTCAGATCAGAGTTTCTCAACCTCGGCCCTGTTGAGAATTTGGCCCAGATAATCCTTTGTGTGAAGGAGCCCTCGTGATGCAATGTTTAAGTGCTTGGCGGCTACGAACCAAAAACTTGGTGGTTCAAACCCAGCCAGGGGCTCAATGGGAGAAAAGATCTGGTGATCTGCTCCCATAAAGATTTCAGCCTAGAAAACTCTATGGGGCAGTTCTACTCTGTCCTAAAGTGTTGCTATGAGTCAGAACTGGCTTGACAGCATATGTAACAATATTCCTTTGTGGAAAGTCCCTGGATGATGCAAATAGCTGAGCACTCAGCTATTAGTCAAAAGGTCACATCCATGAAAATTTTATGGAGCGGTTCTACTTTACACATGTGGGATCACCATGAGTTGAAATTGACTCCATAGCAACTAACAACAATAATCCTTTGTTGTGGGGGGCTCTCCTGTGCATTGCAGAATGTTGAGCAGCATCCTTGGCCTCTTCCCACTAGATGCCAGTAGCACCCCTTCCCCCAGTTATGACAACAATTGAAGGCGGGTGTGTGACGAGGAATCTTAATTCCAAATTGTTAGACTTTCAGCTGTGTTTTCTTCCTTGGCTTCTAAAATGATAGCATCCTCATTTATATTTCCAGGAGTGAGTATGGACAAACCTTCCCTGCAGAAACTCAACAGTCCCCCTAAATATCTAAAATGTCTCCAGATAGTACCCAGTGTCCCCTGGAGGACAAAATCAACATCCCCCCTCCATGGGAACCACTGGCTTAGCTTTTGTACTAAATTTAGTAGATGGCAGTAAGTGATTAATAAGGAGTGTTGTATGATTCATTAATTCTTTTAAAGAGTCTGGAATGTATATGCTGACTGAAATATATAAGCCAGACACAAAAGGCAAATGTTGTGTGATTCCACTTCATGAAATATCTAGAATAGGAAAATCCATCTAGACAAAAGAAGGTTAGTGGGTACCAGAGACTGAGGATTGGGGTAGGTAGGGTGGTTGAAGAGTTTTAAAAAAATAATAAAGGCAAACAGAGAAACAAATAATGAACCATCAGAGAAAATAGCAGCAATTAGCACGCCTGGTAAACAATTAGGGTTTGACAGATACAGTTTTATCTCTATAAGAGATATATTTTATATTATAGTAATATACATATAAATAATACGTATATTTATAATATATGATATACAGTATA